AATTATCAGATGGTGTGACAAGTCTTATCATTTCAGGTTCAATTTGGAGAAGGTAAATAGAGGATGGACACTAATTGGTATTAACGGCTACTTTAACACTACAGAGATATATTTCAAGGTTAGTGTTTTTTTGTAGATTAAATTGATATGTTCAGTTTTGTGTGTTAATGATGCTAATTCGGAAGGTATTGAGGTTTAAATAAAGGATAGATTCTGAAATCCCATCCCATAACTTAATTTGGAAATAGAGACTTAAAATCCTTCCTTCCTACTACGGATTTCCTTGGGGCTGACTGGAAATGGTGTATTGCATTCCCACCCTGTAGTTGGGTCTGTTATGCAATGCTGTACTGTACAGCTTCCTAAATCATTACTCCTCACCCTTTAGTTATAATTCTGGTGTTTAAGACCTTATTTAAAAGGCTAGAGAGGCTGCTGAAGGCTTGGCCGATCATTGGGTAACGGTAGGCATCCTCTGCCCATGTTGGTGTATTCAGGAAAACTTAAAAAACAAGTAAAAGAATTCTAATCTTACAAACTGGTCAAGCATATATATGTTTTAAACTGTAAAGACACACGTGTTCTTGCCACGGGTTGGCATTATGGAGGGTAGGAAGAGTCGAGAAAGTGCCTGAAGTGGCATGTGTATGTGAGGCAATGGGGCGAAGTTAGCAGTACGAGGTAAGTAATACTGATTTGTAGGTAGTATGAAGTACAGGACGTTTCTTTTACTATGTTATTACTATTTACAATTATTACCACTACCTCCAGTAATTGATGACAAATCTGGTGATGGTCAAGAGTTCCTTTTTACTTGTATTTGAGGGTCGAAACATGTGAAGTCCATGAGTCTCAAAAATTAGATTTTGGTGGGCATATACACGAGAAGTTCTTTCCAGACTTGGTCACAAAGTGGAATTTCAGAATTATTCCTTAAAAAGTGCCAAGTAACTCAGTGTCATTTCATTTAATTCAGGTCGTACTAATGGATAGCACAGTGATCAAGAATTCATTTCTTGATCATATTTTTCTCTTAATTGTTCACCAATGTTTTCATGGATTGTGATTTAAATTGTAAATATTGGGAAAGCCATAAAATTCTTATTAAACTTAGGCAAAATCAGTTTTAAGGGTAAAGACAGAAATTCTGGGAATCTCTAATGACCCTTTCTTCTCTGTTCAGAGTATTATAAGTTCTTTCTTTATATTACAGCCCATCTCTTCAGAAATCAGTGGCATTCCAATAGCCATGTCATATGCTTGCACACAGAATGTAACCTTTACAGCTGCTGTCAATAATAACACTGGCTCAAGTAATGGCTTAGTGAAGCTTGTACTGAGTGGTGTACAGGTATGTTACAAATTTAAGATTTTCTTTACCCTGATTCCTCATTTCCTCCAGGGTTAACGGTGAAGAAAACTGATTGAAAAAATTCTATTATCTGTAAGAAACTGGTCATTCCTCATATTGTTTTTGTACAGTAATTCATCGTTGTGGTGTTAACCCGTCCTTTCTTAGTTTGGGCTGCCAAATCTGTAATTCTTAACTAACTTTAAGAATGCAAAAGTTTGTTTCTTGTGTTCCTTTGCAATATATATGCTAAAAAAGGGGGGAAATATAATAGAATTAAAGTTATATCCATCCAACTCTTATTGGCATGTATAAATTTGGCAGTCTGTTTACAAGCCACATTTGAATACTGTTGCTAGTGCATTGTTAGAGCCAGTTGTGTGATAGTTTGTACTAAAAATTATAAACATTTAAGATCATTAGGTCCACTAGGTCATGGGAAGCGATTCATACATACGACAGTGATTCTTCATCTCTGAATAAACCACCTGCACGTGTATTCTGGAAAGGTGGATTGTAATTTCTTGGTAATAATGAATTCTATTTGTTTTTATATGGATATTACTTTCTGCAATGTGAGTACAGTAAAACCTCTATGAATCAGATTTTTTTTCTATGCACCAGACTTCAATAAGCCCAATAAACTTGTTTTGTTTTTTCTTTCCCCCCAAGTCCGGAAAATTCTCAAGTCCAAATGGTTTGTGTGTTCATACGTCACTTTACGAGCAGTTGAACATTTGTGTATGGGTGTCGTGTGCGACATGTGCCATAGTCTGGCTCATCTTCATACGTGTCATATCAGTCAGGGCTTCCTAATCATACTTGCCACTCGTCCAGGGTGAGTGGAAAATCCTTAGGGCAAATCAGATTAAAAAAATAAATAGCCCGTTAGATGAGTGATAATTTAGCTTCATGTAAAAGTGAAGGAGACCCTGTAAGTAGACCCTGTGATCTCGAAAGGCTTTATATTCAACATAATTTGTATTGAACAGTTCTCTAATTTACCTCCAGTTTCTCGATAGAACCATTGAATTATTGTACTGATCAGTATAACAGAAATAGAGATAAATAACAATGTGCACAAAAATGTGTGCATTTCGTTTATGATTTATCAGCTGACTCATCAAGGAAGGCAAAACTAACGTGCAGGAAAAGATGGCGAGTGGACTTGTAGTAATTAATACTGTACACTTAACCAGAGTACCGTCTTCATATCTGAGTGTTGGTGACCACAGTCCTCCAGTCTGTTTTTACCAATCCTCCAATATTTTGTATATCTTGGGTGTGACTCAGTTTTTAATTTCATTCATCCATCCATCCCAGTCTCAGCTTTCCCCTAGACCTCCTACCCTCAACTTTCTCCAATAAAATTTCTGTTATCGTCCCCTTATCCCTAATTATATGACCAGGTATCTCATTTTTCTGTACATTTCAAATATTTCCCAACGCTAACCTTAGTACTTTATTGGTTTTCTTGTCAGTAAGGTATTCTTAACATTCACCTATAACACCACATTTCAAAGGCCTCCAATCTCTTTCCAGTGTCTGCAGAAAGTGTCCATGCTTCTGACCCATACAACAGTCCTTGCCATATACTTCAGTACCTATATCTTTACAGCAGCCTTTTTTTTTTCAAATTGAAGTTAATGTCACTTTTTATTAGGTCTTTTTAGATTGTTAAATGCTGTTTTTGCATGATACGCTCTTGTTATGATTTCTTTTGTACATCTACCATCACAGCTAGTGTTACTTGCAAAGTAAACCAAAATTTCCATTTTTTTAAGTTCCCTGTTGCCTACCATAATTTTTATTTTAGGATTTATTCCCAATTTAGAAACAACCATTATTTTTGTCTTTACAGCATTACAGTATCTTTTAATCCATGTTCTTTACTGATCTGTTAACCAGTTTTTGTAATGCCTCTTCATTATCCAAGATAAGATCAGTATCATCTGCATGGCATATATTTTATGTTACTGTACTTTACCTTTTAGTCCTTCATTGGTACTTATAACTTCTCTCATTAAGAATTCTGCATACAATATATATTATACAATGTTGGAGATAGAACACAGCCTTGTCATACTTCCTGTCTAATTGTGAGCTTAATACCTGTAGTATGCTCATTATTTACTAACACTGCAGGCTCTTGTTGCCAGTAAAGATTTTCTTTAGAATTCTAGTACAATAGGGTCAGGATATGACTTAAGCTAATTTTTCTAAGTTGGGTGCACTCCTGGTTTTTTAGGTAATACTGTACAGTAATACAAATATTGATTTTTTTTAAATCACTGGGAAAGTTTCCTTTGAAGTCAAGTACAGTACAGTATATATAATTACATATTTTAGTCATATAATTTATCCCATTCTTGTCCATTTGTTTTATAACTTCTGCTGGAAGCTGATCAACCCCACAAGCTTTATCATTTTGCTCACAGCTCTCCCAACTTCTGATTCTAGAATTGGCAGTTTGATCTTTATTTCCTCTTTGTTTCTTACCTTTACTCTGTCCTTTCCATTCTATAGTTCTTCTATATACTCTGCCCATCTCTCTTTTACTTCTTCTGTCTCAAATAGGATGTTATTGTCTTTGTTTTTAATAGTCCCACCCCATTTATATATCTGGTTTTTTTTTTGGGGGGGGGAGGGGGCATTTGTTATTATGATCAATATTGTAATGTCATGTAACCATTCCTTAACCTCTTCAGCACAATGACTTTATCCTTTGAATACAACAATACTCTTCAGGGGGATCAAGGCATCGTACTCAAGGGAATAAGTAATTGTGCTGATGGGATTAAGGAATAGAGACATGAAATTAGTGATCCATAATAAGAAATTCATAGATTCATTGTTATGGGGTTGATGGTTATACACAATACTCAAGGGTTAAGTCATCATACTCAAGGGGTTACTGGTTAAGTCTTGTTAAGCCACTTTAGTCTTTTGTTTTTATTCTTTCCAAGTTGTACAATCCTGTTTACCAGATAGGTCTTAAGCTATAGCTATTGTTATTAGTAAAGACAGTCCTAACATGAAAGTGAAACATTATTTTTCTTATTCCAGATGCAGCCATTTACTGTAAAGGGTAAGTTTGGTGGAGCCTGGGACTGTGTTGGCTTCTTCACTGTTTCCATCTGGGTTAGTCTGTTGGCAACTCTGCCGATGGTTACCATTCTTAGGGTTGGAACGTATATGCATAGTGATATCAAGACCATGGACCGTTTTGATGACCCTGAGGGACAGCCATTATGGTACCAAACACTGATTAAAATGAAGCTTGATACTGATCTAAGAAGTTGCTGCATCAGATAGAGATTGTTAAACCATGAACGTGATATATTCTGAAATTGTAGGGACATTGGCTTCATACGCCTATATAACATGAAGTATGGCATTTTTCTAATAGCCATTAGTGTGTAAATTTTTTATTTGGATCAGTGAATGGTTGAAAACTTAACATATGGAGACATTGCATATTTATCAGTCATCTAATAGCATAACAAATGTATGTAAATATTTTGAGTATTATGAATACAGAAATATAGAAAATTTATTGTGATGTTAATGTACTTGAAACATTTTCTTAGTCAAAAGTGTCACCCTGCTTCACTATAGATGGTGTCAGATATACGTATATATACAATAGTTTCCTTTTTAAGTATGACTGTTTATTGTTGATATGGAATATATATACAGTTATATCTAAAATACCTTTAAAGTCCACGAGATATTATGTATATCTAGTGACCTACAGTACATGCTTGTGAAAAATATTTAAAAACATTCATAAGATGTTTAGTGCATTTACATAAAATGTAATAATGAAAATTTGTAGGGTGCTGGTGTAAACTGGGGTCACTTATATGGGTAGATTAAGTCCAGAAGTAAATGTTGGCAGTATTTTTTCTTTGAGTGATGAAATTTACTTTTACTTTATCATCTATAAAATATGAAGGAGCTAATCCGTTTGCCGAAGAGATTGGTAAAAGGAATATGGTAAGCATAAGTGTTAATTGTGGATATTCAAGAACATACTGTATAAGTTTAAGAACCCACATATTTCGCTGAAGGTAATGAGTAATCATATGTGACTATCTTCTGCATTATACTATTTATTTCCTCAAAATTAAGTCATAAGGTAAATGAAAGATACTTGAACTTTGGCGCTGAAATCATCGCACAATATCTATAGATAGCAAGTAAAGTGTATACGTAGTTATATACCCAGAAACAATGATTGAATAAATGTGTGGATGTAATAGTTTATAGATATGTCCTGTAATTCTTAAAAGGATGTATAATTCTTAACCTTTTCCTGCATGTTGTCTTTGCCCAGTACAGTATGTCTATTTAACTTAAACAATGCAATATATTTAAGTCATTGTAAATAGAGCAGTCTGATATACGTACTACTAATGATATTGTGGAAGTGTTGTGGGTGATATTAAAGAGTAAATTTCATAGTTTATGAGTGTCAAACTTAAGTAAGAATTATAGAACATTCCAGGTGCTCATAAGTTGTGGTTATTGTAAGCATTACTTACTCTGGTATGTATCATAATTTATGTATTATATGTACAGTTGTGTTTCAGTAAAGGTGTTGTGGAGAAGCCATCTTTCATTTATTGACTTCATAACATATGTTAATTCTATGTATATGTATATTGTACTGGTATATTTCAGATGTGTGCTTATGGGTGATGGACAGGTTTTCATGATAAATGAAAATTTGCACACTTTTTATTGCCAACTAAACCTTGTAAAAATTACAGTTGTCATTAGAACACCTTTCTGGTTCTTCACAAATACTGATGCTTCTTGCATGTTGTTCCCCTTTCTCTTTGTTTGCAATTTTCAGCCCATTCTTCCCTAGTCTTTCCCTCTCCCATACACCTCAGAATATATATATATATATATATATATATATATATATATATATATATATATATATATATATATATATATATATATATATATATATATATATATATATATATATATATATATATATACAGGTATATATATATTTTTTTATGCATGTTTCACTTTGTTCTCAAATTACTGTAAGGGCCGTATTCATAGTCGTTACACCACTCGATCGATCGGGAGTACCGTCATGTGTGATTATTCAGAGATGCCTACAGACCCAAAGGCAGTCCCAGTGGAATGGGTTTCCTATCAGGATCACTGGACCAACTCATCGGGAGGGGGTACCTGCCCTGTGACAGTCCCTATTATAAAAACTTTTTCACCCTCCAAATTTTGATATATTGAGATAAAATATATTCAAAACTGATGGGAAATGAGATTGCTTGCAACAGTCTTGTTTACATATACTGTACTTTCAATGATTGTCAGTTATTTACAAGTGTTAAACAATCCTGGCTGATCATGAGTGTGCATCAATGAAAACATAACATTTCTCTTCTTAATCACTGCTCTAGGGTCAGATACCTTGTCTTGTAAAATTTTTCCCTTCTCTTGAATGTGGCTAAATAGAGAACTGTACTGTTTAAAAGACAGCAGTATGCTACATTCATGGGTATCATATTTCCCGCACTTTTCCACTCTGTTGTGACAGCTGACTTGTTGCACACCAACCACCGACCATTCCAGTGTGACCAACACCTGGTGAAATATAACCTTCAAACAAACCTCAAACACCAGAGAATAATAATTGCTATATCTCATAGATATCCTCTTTACACTTTTATGTTCATTTTGTCATATGATGTGAATTTTTTTTAGTGTTGGTTACATTTTTTTATTTTTTTTTATTTCAGGGAAATAATATTGGGGTACTTGATGCCTGGATTGTGGCACCAGTGGGCCAACTGGCCAATTTGGAAATATTGGTAACTTTGCCCGGTTGATCGGAATGAAGCACGTTCTTAAATAACCTCCCTACACGAGCTTTGAGTTCCTGATGGTCGGGTTCACCATCGGGTATGAATGATTGTGAATACACTACATTATATTGAATGTGAATATAAAACTTATTTGCATAATTAGTTAGACAATTTAATAAAGACTGCAGCACTAGGGTTTATGAAAGCAAAGTTTTGTGCAGTGCACACATATCCCATGTGTATCATAAATCAATGAACAAAATCCTTTTAAAGCATAATTCATGTACAGTGTACACATTAAAATCATTATTCACAGGGCTGCACACAAGTGAATATTTGTTGTACACTAGAACTTTAGACAATGCACAAGTGAATATTTTTTATATAACACAATGCAACACAGATAAGTATCCCTTTGTTTTACCATTATACACAGGGCAACACATGAAAGTCTGTAAGATGTAAGCAGAAATGCAAAATTAGTACCTTGGGAAGACAAGTTATTGGTCGATGTTTTCCATCTTCCACACCTTTACATAATCCACTTGAAGAGCTGCCTTCTCACTGATGCGTCCTTCACCTTGTTCCCAGGTGGGCAACCAGGAGGAATGCTGTAAGGACAACCAGGGGTGAGATAGGGAGATGAAATGCAAGTTGCTGTACTAATAATGGGTGATGGGAGAGTGAAAGACTATCAGTGAGTCAGTGAGAGTTAGTGACATCATGAAGTAAAGAGATGGTCAAGGGAGATCCTACAAGAATGATACTGTACTTGGGTTCTGTAACCTAAGGTAAATTTCATACTATACTTCAAACACCCTTCATTTACCTACTACGCAACTTGATTTCCTGCTTTGATAATTATCAAAGCAGGAAATTATAATCTACTTGTAATCAAGTAATTTAAATCCACTTGTGACACTTTACCTATGATTTCTAAGAATAATAGATTGGTCATAAATATGTAGTTGAAAAACAATTCCACTTTATACTATTTGTAAACAAATGTCAGTACACTCATAGTATCCCCCCCCCCCTTCCAAAGAAACTTTAGATATCTGCCTGACCACCAATTTACATAAACTACTAAAATCAAAACTGCAGACCATTCTCTGTATACAGATTCACACACAAGTTAGATTAAGTTCAGTCCATAGTTTGTGTGTATTGTAATAGAAAAAGTTTTATGCCTGGAGGTTTAATCACCCTCTTCCGTTGACGAGGGTCGTCATATTTACAATCAGTGTTTTAAAAAATTTGAGTCATGACGGTAAAATGAACTAATTCCAATATAAATTAATATTACTACCACGCCTCCCTGTCGAGCACTAGTACAGTGTCCTTCGTGACTCCAATTTTTTAAATCTGGTTGTAAACATGACCCCCTTCAACAGAAGAAGCTGATTAAAACTCTGGGGGTTATTCACACACACTTCAATTCTCTGAGTAATGACGATGAGATGATTATGTAGTCCAATACCTTTACCCAACTACATTAAGTAATTTTCAGATGCATTTCTGTTCGTATGCAGTTTAGGTCACCACCTTTGAGATACTCACCCATACAAGAATTAATACCATCACATCTTATACAGTACCCAAACCTTTTAATTTTACTAATATTTCTAAATAAAGTGTGAGTATCTTTAAGAATCCCCTGGAAACTAGCCCCCCAGCTTATCTTAAGATTAACCAATCTAACCTAACCCTCCAGGTAGCATTAGGGTGTTTAATCATCAGGTGAAATAATCTGGGGGTGGAGGGGCTAATGCCTAATATACAGGTGATATGTTTTTACTAACTCCATTCCAGAAGTCAAGCAAGGCTTGAGGGGAGACGTTGCTCCAGGGCTTGGGTGGGTTGCTCGGCACATCATCTGGGAAGAAACCATTGGTGCCGCCCACAGCCAAGTTCAAGACAATGTAGAACTGATGGATGAGAAGAACTTTAAAACAATCCTGTATTAGAGGTATTGCTAATTGAGAGTTTATGTAAAGGTGATAATTATGAAAATCAGCCAACTAGCATGTAGTTTTGATGTGAATGAAATAGATACAGTATATACTGGTATGCCTTTAGTGTACAGTACTCGATGAATCTCTAGTATTTTATAGACTTATGCACCATATTTTCATTTGCCATGACATCAACAGCATTAGGTGGACAACTTCATTACTGGTTTCCCTCAGATGGTATGCTGTATTGCTTTCATCTGAGGGTTGGATGTGGCTTTGGGGCATTTCACCTTGGTTTGTTGCAGAAAAATGCCATCAAAACAATCGACATTATTGATCATGCCAGAAAGTTTTGAGTGTACTTCATATTTGTAAAGATATCTCGTCACTTTTACTACACTTTTGTCATGTTCACAGTCAGTGTTTTGATAGGGTATACTCAATAGGGCCAACAATGTGCACCCTCAATCAGCCTATGAAGGGATCTAGGAAGGCTCAGAACTTCTGTTGAAATTTCATTCTACAGAACCTCTGATTACCAGAACTCCTTTAATCCCAGACTAGCATTGAGTGGAACTCCCCTCCTTGAGAGTATACAGTATTCAGTAATCTCCCCGTCAGATGGAATCTCCGGTCCCTGAAACTCTCCAATAGCTGGAATGAATTTTGAGCCTTCCGGGAATACAGTACTCTCTCCGTTCCGGGCATGCGAACAAATTTTTCTGGATTTACGAAAGAGTGTATCATGCTCTGATGCGTCCCCACTTGCTGGATGGACTAGTTGCTTTGGTAACTTAAGCCGTATGCTTGCACGGTTAGGGCATATTCTTCTGCAATTGTACAAGGTTGTTCCCTCGCTTGCTGCTATTTTTGCATACAAATTGTGTTGTGCAGTACTGTACATTACTGTACTAGGACAATCTGCCAAGAATACAGTTAAGATGTAGAAAGTGATTACAGTTGCATATTCTATACTGTACAGTCAGTAAATGTGAAAGTACTGTAGTGTACATAGCAGATTGGACAATGTACTGTATGCCTATTTTAGGCTAGTGTGTGTATAGTATACAGTGCATATACAGTCTCGTTCAAGATTCTTCGAACACTGCTAGAGACAGCTGGCAACTCAAGGCCGTTTGTTTACTATAGTACGTAGTATAATATAATACGAAAAATAAGAACATAACATAAGAATGGAGGAAACTGCAGCGGGCCTATTGGCCCATACTGGGCAGTCCCGTTTACACCCAACCCCTATTGCTCATATGAGCATCCAACCTATGTTTGAAGCAATTGAGCGTATTCGAGTTAATGATGATATTTGGTAACTTGTAACATTCATCCACTACTCTGTTTCCAAACCAGTGTTTACCTATTTCACGCCTAAATCTAAATTTGTCTAATTTAAAACCATTGTTACGAGTTCGCTCCTGGTTGGATAATTTGAGTACCTTTGTAATGTCCCCTTTGTTTAGCCCTGCCTTCCACTTATACACCTCTATCAGGTCGTCCCTCGCTCTACGTCTCTCAAGGGAGTGCAAATTAAGATGCTTTAACCTGTCTCTATACTCAAGGTTCCTAATGCCCGGGATTAGTCTTGTCATTCTCCTCTGAATTCTTTCCAAGGATTCTCTATCCATTTTATAATACGGTGACCAGAACTGAACTGCGTAATCCAGGTGTGGTCTCACAAGAGCAAGATACAGTTTTAGGATGACCTCGCTAGTCTTGTAACTAACACTCCTTTGTATGAACCCAAGTACTTTATTAGCCTTGTTACGAGCAAAAAAACATTGTTTACTTGGCTTAAGGTTCCTACTTATCATTACTCCTAAATCTCTCTCGCAGTCGGATTTCTCTATGGCATCGTTGTTCATCTGGTATCTGGTTTCCCTATTTACATCTCCTATACTGAGTACTTTACATTTGTCGATGTTGAATTTCATCTGCCATTTTTCAGACCATTCGAAAAATTTGTTTACATCTTCCTGTAGTTTTGCCGAGTCCTCGTCAGATTTGATAACATGTCCTATTTTAGTGTCATCAGCAAATTTACTTATGTTGCTGTCAATGCAGATATCTATGTCGTTTATGTATATAATAAATAATAATGGTCCAAGTACTGAGCCTTGGGGAACTCCACTTGTGATTTTGCTCCAATGGGACTTAGTGCCGTTAATGCTCACTCGCTGTTTCCTGTACTGTAACCACGCCCTAATCTATTTAAGGATGTCACCTTTGATGCCATGAGCTTCTACCTTTCTAATTAGTCTTTCGTGGGGGACTCTGTCGAAGGCTTTGCTAAAGTCGAGATATACCACATCATAATTGTGCCCCTCGTCCACCGATTCGAGAACTGATGAAAAGAATGTTAATAGGTTAGTTAGGCAAGAACGTCCGCTTGTGAAGCCATGCTGGGAATCATTGATGAATCGGTGCTTCTCCAGGTGATTTCGAATAGAGTTTGAAATGATTGCTTCCAGTAATTTCCCTACTATTGATGTTAGACTGATTGGGTGGTAGTTAGAGGATTGTGATCTATCCCCCTTCTTGAAAATCGGTATTACATTCGCTATCCTCCAGGATTCTGGTACTACACCTGTTTTTAAGGACATGTTAAACAACTTTGCTAAGGGCATACTAAGCTCTTCCTTACATTCCTTTAATACTCTGGCAAATGTCTCATCGGGACCAGGTGACTTATTAGGCTTTAGTTTGCCTATTTGCTTACTAACATCGTTACTAGTCACTACTATCTCACTTAATTTGTTTTCTTCACTATCTCTGAATAGAGTCGGCGCCTCGGGTATCATGTTTAAATTTTCGGCGGTGAAAACTGTTGAAAAATATTCATTCAAATTATTGCTCATTTCTCCGTCGTTATCAGTGAGCTCGCCGGAGTCTGACCGTATTGGTCCAATCTTTTCTCGTGTTTTAGTTTGATACATCTGATAGAATCCTTTGGGGTTTGTCTTCGCCTCCCTTGCTATCCTTACCTCATTATTCCTCTTTGCTTTCCTTATCTCGGTTTTAACCCTACTCGCCAATACCCTATAATAGTCCCGGAGGTGAATTTCGCCACGATTTATCCTTCTACCTATAGCCTTCCTTTGGCCAATAATGTTCTTTAAATAATTATTTATCCATTTAGGGTCATTGTTGTATGATCTGAGTTTTTTGTATGGTATGTTCTGCCTTTGTGCATTAAGTAACTCACTATTTAAATTGTCGTGGAACTTGGTAATCTCAGATCTCGTTATCAGGTCGGTGTCATCTGTCAGGTTCACGGCCAAGCGCGACACCCCCTCTCTTAGCTGCCTCTTTAAACTGTCAAAGTTTGCCCTTCTGAAATCTGGTACTTTAGTGGAATTTTCCTTACGTCTGCCCTGAAAATCTAACTGGAATCGAATTTCTTTGTGATCGCTGTTTGCAAGTTCGTTCCCTACCTCGACATTGCTAATGAGGTTTAAACCCAACCATTAATTAAGCAATGGAGAACTAAGTAACCAATCACCGATCACTTTTACATTCATTCATAATTTTTACTACGTTCTATAGTAAACAAACAGCCTCGAGTTGTCAACTGTCTCCAGCAGTGCTCGAAGAATCTTGAACGAGACTGTACAATCCCTCCTTCATGGAGTGAGAGGAGAGTGACAGTTAGTAACTCCTGCTACAGCAGATGGTACAGGACAAAGGCAGGCCATCCTGTATCATCGTATCACCATTTGGCCATAAGAAATGCAGTAATGTAAATAGGGTTTGATTTGGACCATAAGATAATAAATGTAACCTAAAAGGTTACTTTTTATACCTTTTATCATTAGTAGGGTCAAAGGGTATGTGTATCTATTGTACACGACTCCATTCATATGCATTTGACCCCCCTGAACCGCCCTTACGTTTGGGTCTCGTTTCGGGTGAGCATCTCTTGTCTATGTTCATTTGAGAAAAAAAAATCATTACAATACTCTACTGTGGGGGAGCTGGTGGTAGAGTGGTACCGCTCTTGCCTTCGCAAGTGAGATGTCACGGGTTCGATTCCCCGGCCAGTGGAAGTTGTTTGGACATACTTCCTAGCCCCCATTAGTCCCTGTTCACCTAGCAGTAAAGTAGGTACCTGATGTAAATCGAAAGTTGCGAATTCGAATTCAGGGACAAGTTGTTGGAGCTTCCAATAACTTGATGACATAAACCATTGACTCTTCAGGCTTCTATGCCCTTGACTCTTCAGGCTTCTACGCCCTTAACTCATGAGACATAAAGGCAAGCATGAACTTAGCATGCTTCCCTGTTGGACACTGTAAACGCTTCTGCGCTTCACATTACATAAAGATGTAGGGGGGTGCCCAATAAAAAAAAAAAAAATTCTCTACTGTAATGTGGCTTAGAAATAAATAAAATACAATATTAAACTATAAAATAAGAAGGTTGAAGATCATGGGTGTGTATGTGTGGAAAGTGAATGTTACTCTATGTATTGAGGTAGTGAACTGTAGTAGGTATTAGGCAGCTACCAAACAGGGAGGTACTACCGCCTGGGAAGATATTGGAAGCATAATGTGCTGTCTATGGTAGATCTTGCTGCCACATGGCATCACGAAAATTGTGACCAAGCCCCAGGTTGCTGATCTGACTTTCTGCCTCATTTACACACAATTGCAGGGTCTCAATTGTTTCTCTTACTATTGACAACACAACATACATATACTTTTCCTCACTTTTGATTTTTTTTTCATTTTGTATTTCTTTGTGGTTCTTTATTATTATTATTATTATTATTATTATTATTATTATTATTATTATTATTATTATTATTATTATTATTATTATTATTATTATTATTATTATTATTATTTTTATTGTTGTTACATTTTCGCCCCCCAGGCCCCGGTGTGGGTCAGTGACCTGTGCCTGGGTGGGGTGATTCCCTAAAAAAAAAAAAAAAAAACTGCGGCCAGCCACACTCCCTTATGTAACGTCACTGCATACACACAGCACAGCAGCCACACATGTCCTGAGTCAGCTGGGTGACTGCCCGGCTGAACTGTGTCACGTGTATAGTGCACCAGTAAATGTGAGGAATAAAAAATAAAAAAAATACTGCATTGCCATTTGGAAATCATTTCACTACACACAGGAGACAGCAAACAGTTGAGATTGCTCCCCCTACCCCCACCCCCATGCTGCTCCTCACTCCCCATCAAACGATCTGTGTGCTAACTCTCACGAAGAAATGTTTATTCCCTTAATGTTTTTGACCTGAAGATAATTAATTATTGAATTTTTTTTAGCACATTCTGTATGAACGATTGTGTGTAAGTAATAAAGTAAAAAAAAAAGGAATTTTTTTTTATACAGTACAGCACTGTATACCCAAAATCATGTGTATGAAAGATTGTGTGAGCGTATAACAGAGTAAAGAAAAAGAAGAAAAACGTATATCTACTCGAAATTACGAGTTTTTTTATTTGATAGATTTATATTAGATTTTCTTTTATTTCTAAGCCACATTAAAGTATTGTAATGAATAATCCTCTACTTTTATAGTTACATTACATGTAACCATGGCAACATACCATGTCCACAGATGCAATTCCTCGTAAGAGCCGTCGCTTTTTACGTATACAGGAGGTCCCCGGGTTACGAACGGTTTCCGTTCCCGAGTAAGTTCGTAAGTCAGATTTGTTCGTAAGTCGGAACACGTGCTATGTTAATGCCGTACTTACAAAACAATGTTTAAAATCCCACTATATCATAGCCTCAGTCCTTATATACTGTACATCTAAAATTGTTTCATTTAAGACAAAAGAAATAGAATGACAAAATATGGTAAATGAAAGTAAAAAATAAGTCATCAGATAAATAAAATACTGAAAATTTCAAGTTTAACGTCGTTCATATCGGCGGACGTTCGTAAGTCGGGGACCCCTGTATTTCAGCAACAATTTGGTCTCATAAATGCAAAACTACGGATATTGATGATTCGGATAATGATGACCCCTGTTCAGTAGTATATTTTGTTTGTTTACAATAGTGTACAGTATAATTATTGTACATGTACAGTGGTATAAATACAGCTCTGTGTCTGTCCGTGTGAGATGCATAGTTTAGACTCTTAAGAAAACTTTCCTCAGTACCCGGAAAAATTCTGGGCATGTGCATTTTTTCTGGGGATGAGAAATTTGTCTCTATACCCGGAAATCTTGCATTTCCGGAAGAGCTCTGCACCATTTATTTCGGCTAATGGGGATATTATACTGAACAGTTCTGCATCTATTTTTTGCATAATATACAAGGTAACTTCAATTAGTTCAAATAATCCTGCAAGGGGATATCTGTGATTAGATTTGACAAGGACATTTGTCTGATTGCTCCCTATACTTGTTGTATGTTAGAAAAATTACATCACTTTCCCCGTGGCAAGAAACCTTTCAATAAAAGGCAAATTTTTATGTTCATAAACCAATATTAATACTAAAATATGGCCAGTCGTCATATAAGAGTATAGTACAGAGTTGGGGACTGGGGGCATTGGGGAATGCATCACACATTTGACTGTTGAAATATGTTTTGTAACTACTGTACTTTTAGAGACAATTGGAAATATCAGTTATGAAAGGCACTTGAAAAGGTTTTGAATGTGTAAACGATGGCAGTGATCAGCTTGAGGGCACAAAACTCCCACTTCCTCCCTCTTGTGTCTGACACAAAGGGGGAGGATCATGGTCAGACAAGGTAAAAAATACTGTAAATATGCTCACCTTCTGGTCAAAAGGAGCCATCTTACCACCAGCAGCCCAGGGGTTATCATAGGAGTCTCCAAAACCACCAAAGTCCCAGAAGTTAGTGAAGGGGTCCACTGTCAACTTGAGCTCATCATCCACATAGAACCTACAATCATAACAACACTTTTACACAAACCTACATGACTCCTGGTGTGCATCATGACTCATAAAAATCCAGATTTTGATTTTTAAACACACACACTTCAAATGATTGTGATACGGGTCGTTGTTTTTTACAGTGTAAAAGACTAAGCTTCGTGAGACTCACTTCATGTCGTCCTTGGTCCAATCCATTCTCCATGTGTGGAAATTGTCAGCATAGGATCCAGTGGGAGCTTGGCTGAAGAAACGAGTAGGTGTTAGTGCATATGTGTGGTGGTTATGTGTGCATATGTGTATTATGATGAACATAGTGTACTTATACATGTACTGCTGTTTCTCAATTAATGAAATGAACAAAGGAGTTAGAACCTATCTCGATGAGTGAACGTAAAGAAATATGTTAATCATTGATTTTCCGACAACTTGTGAAAAATTAAAGAAAGTCATCATGCATGAGTGATGATACCGCTTGTTGTCCCTGGGGAGGTCTTAACCAGGGTCCTCAACAAATTTCTTGCAACAGTTTTCATTAGCTACAAATAACAAGCATGTATCTTGCATGTATGGGTGTTTTATAAGTTTAATGACATTCACTACATTTAAGTATGACTTCCATATTGTAATTAGAATTTTAATTTGATGCAGTTTTGTTCCTTATACAGCTAAAAATGAGTGGATCAGATCACTTACTATTTAGTATGAGTCTTTTGGTACATGTTTAGTTGCCAATAAGGTCCCCAGTGGAGTGTTGTGCTTCCATACTGGTTTCCTAGGGTGCCATAGTCACTGTTACCTAAAGTGAGGAGAAAAAGGATCATAAAAAATGGGTCTGGACTAAAAACAGTTGACCCCATGGCTGTTGACAGATAAGAAAGTACAGTATACAAATTAAGGGGGATCACCCATGGCTAACAGCCTAATACCCTTGAAAGGCATGGATCAGGAACTTTGGGATTCATAATATATGCTGTGCAATTTTTATAAATTTCGGAAGAATCAAGTGCACAAACATTTTAGACGGCAGACAGACAAACAGTCCTGTGGCCTGGGGGGTAAAACCAAACAATTGAAACAGTTGTATCATACGACTTAAACCTTTTGAGTTAAATATTACAAAACCTTTAGAAGAAAAGGCACAACATTCAAGTTTATAAATATGCTACATCAATAACAGTATACAAGACAGTACAGGGATAAGAAAGTCTTTAAACTGCTAGGGGAACATATGGGCACGGGGATGAGGGAGACTGCAGAGGGAGCGGGTAAGCAAAGTGAAAGATTACAGGGAAATAGTGTTAGGAATGATGACAAAACTAAATTAGACAGGCAGTTTAAACATAAACGCGGTAAAGGGAGGACTCAGAACACGACTAACTTAAATGTCTACTACGCGAATAGTAGAAGTATGAGAAACAAAATGGATGATATTAGGGCCTTGGTATGTACCGAAAAAATCGATATAATAGCATTCACTGAAACATGGATCAACCTAGACTTACATGAGTTACCTGTCGAATACCAAATTGCGGATTACAAATTGTTCCATACCGATAGGCCATCCAGGAAAGGATGCGGAGTAGCCATCTGTGTCAGGGATAATCTGAAGTGCGCAATAAATAAGGAAATAAAAACTGAGCGGAATACAGAAACAATTTGGATAGAATTAATCGACGGCTGGGAAAAATTAATCATAAGACCTCCCAATCTTGATAGTGTTAATGAGCGACTTATCTCGGATGAAATGCGCAGGTCTTCCATACACAACAAAGTCTGTATAGTAGGCGATTTTAACCTTGGCCAAATAGATTGGACTGACCTTACGGGTAACTCGGTATCAGAGGATTTCCTCAAAACGATCCAGGACTGTTTCCTAAGTCAACATATAACCGAACCCACCCGGGGTAATAATATACTCGATTTAGTTCTGTCGAACAGAGAAAACTTCATTAGCAATGTCGAGGTAGGGAACGAACTTGCAAACAGCGATCACAAAGAAATTAGATTCCAGTTAGATTTTCAGGTCAGACGTAAAGGGAATTCCATTAAAGTCTCAGATTTCAGAAGGGCAAACTTTGATAGTTTAAAGAGGCAGCTGAGAGAGGGGGTGTCACGCTTGAATGTGAACCTGACAGATGACACGGACCTGATAACGAGATCTGAGATTGCTGAGTTCCACGACAATTTAAATAATGAGTTACTTAATGCACAAAGGCAGAACATACCATACAAAAAACTCAGATCAGACAACAATGACCCTAAATGGATAAATAATTAAATACATAAATAATTATTTAAAGAACATTATTGGCCAAAGGAAGGCTATAGGTAGAAGGATAAATCGTGGCGAAACTTACCTCCAGGAGTATTACAAGGAATTGGCCGGTAGGGTCAAGACCGAGATAAGAAAAGCCAGGAGGAACTATGAACTGAAGATAGCAGGGGAGGCGAAAACAAACTCCAAAAGATTCTACCAAATGTATCAAACTAAAACACAAGATAAGATTGGACCAATCCGTTGAGATACAGGCGAGCTAACTGATAACGACGGAGAAATGAGCAATAATCTGAATAAATATTTTTCAACAGTTTTCACCACCGAAAATTTAAACATGATACCCGAGGCATCGACTCTATTCAGAGATAGTGAAGAAAACAAATTAAGCGAGATAGTAGTGACTAGTAACGATGTTAATAAGCAAATAGACAAGCTGAAGCATAATAAGTCACCTGGTCCCAATGAGATATTTGCCAGAGTATTAAAGGAATGTAAGGATGAGCTAAGTATGCCCTTAGCAAAATTGTTTAACATGTCATTAAAAACAGGTGTAGTACCAGAATCCTGGAGGATAGCGAATGTAATACCGATTTTCAAGAAGTTGGGATAGATCACTATCCTCTAACTACCGCCCAATCAGTCTCACATCAATAGTAGGTAAATTACTAGAATCAATTATTTCAAACTCTATTCGAAACCACCTGGAGAAGCACAAGTTGATCAATGATTCCCAACATGGCTTCACAAGCGGGCGTTCATGTCTAACTAATCTATTAACATTCTTTTCATCAGTTTTCGAATCGGTGGACGAGGGGCACAATTATGATGTGGTATATCTCGACTTTAGGAAAGCCTTCGACAGAGTCCCCTACGAAAGACTAATTAGAAAGGTAGAAGCGCATGGCATCAAAGGTAATATCCATAAATGGATTAGGGCGTGGTTAAGGGACAGGAAACAGAGAGTGAGCATAAACGGCACTAAATCGCATTGGAGCAACGTCACTAGTGGAGTTCCTCAAGGCTCAGTACTAGAACCATTATTATTTATTATATACATAAACGACATAGATATCGGCATAGACAGCAACACTACAGCAAAACTACAGGAAGATCTAAACAAATTTTTCGAATGGTCGGAAAAATGGCAAATGAAATTCAATGTGGACAAATGTAAAGTACTCAGTATAGGAGATGTGAACAGGGAAACCAGTTACCAGATGAATTACGATGCCATTGTGGAATCCGACTGCGAGAGAGATTTAGGAGTAATGATAAGTAGGAATCTTAAGCCGAGTAAACAATGTGTTTTTGCTCGTAACAAGGCTAATAAAAGTACTTGGGTTCATACAAAGGAGTGTTATTTACAAGACTAGCGAGGTCATCTTAAGATTATATCTAGCGCTTGTGAAACCTCACCTGGATTACGCAGTTCAGTTCTGGTCACCGTTTTACAGAATGGATATAGAATCATTGGAAAGAATCCAGAGGAGAATGACAAGACTAATCCCGAGCATTAGGAACCTTGAATACAGAGACAGGTTAAAGCATCTTAATTTGCACTCCCTCGAGAGACGTAGAGTGAGGGGCGACATGATAGAGGTGTGTAAATGGAAGTCAGGGTTAAACAAAGGGGACATTACAAAGGTACTCAAACTATCCAACCAGGAGCGAACTCGTAACAATGGTTTTAAATTAGACAAATTTAGTTTCCGGAGTGAAATAGGTAAACACTGGTTTGGAAACGGAGTGGATGAATGGAACAAGTTACCAAATAACATCATTAACTTGAATACGCTGGATAGCTTCAAACATAGGTTGGATGCATATATGAGCAATAAGGGTTGGGTATAAACGGGACTGCCCAGTATGGGTCAATTTCCCGCTGCAGTTTCCTCCATTCTTATGTTCTTATGTTCTTATGGATCCTAAAAATTTATCCCCAAAGTTTATTTCACCTGAGGATTAAACACCTTAATATTACTTGGGGAGGTTATATTAGGTAAGGTTATACTGTACCTACATTAAGTTATGATGTTAGGTTAAATTAGGTTGGAATATGTTAGGTTATGCTAGAATAGGTTAAATTAGGGTGTTTAATCATCAGGTGATATAAGCTGGGATTAGGTCAGGTAGGTTAGGCTAAGCTAGATTATGTTACATTAATTTAGTGTTAATTACTTTAGGTGAAATAAACTAAGGTTTGGTCAAGTTAGGTTAGGCAAGGCTTTATTATATTTGGTTAAGCTAGACTTGATTACTTTAGGTTAGGTTAACATTTGGGTGTTTAACCCTTTCGAGGGCAGCCCCACACTTAGGAACTTTATTTTATTCTGATTAATGCCAAACGATTTTATTCAGCTGAGAGAAACTCCTGCCTTCTAAAGGATCAATTATCAGTTGAAATAAGCCAGGGTTGTTCATCTATAGTACTGTACATGTGATCCTATAAGAGATGCTACAATGAATTACCCTATTAGTTGGGTCACAAGAAGTGCCGTAGTTTACTCACCGCGAGACTCGACAATATCAATCTCACCACTGGCTGGCCATAGACCATAGGGCCAGTTTCTAGGCAACAACCACATAGCTGTAAGCAAATAATAAATAAGAATTCAAAGAAAAATGTATAAAAAAGTAATGAAAGTGAAAGTATGACTGCCCATTGGGGACAGTGGATACAGCACACTGTATACAGGTACACTGTCCTAAGCCTTCAGTACACAAGGAGGCAGCATGGCTGGTACTGCACTCAGCCACATCCACTTTCCCAAATTGTAAACTAAGGTAATAGGTACCCTTTTACAGCTGGATGAACTGGGATCGTCCAGGATCGACCCCCCAACCCATGGAACATGAAATGAGTGCTGTATCCACTTGTCCATCACATTCCAAACCAGTTTTTCAAATACAGGGTATATAAATATAATACTGAGCTTTAAATTCAGGAGGGACAATAAAGTTCACTAAGTAACAAAGAATGGCTAGTAAGCTGATAAGTGGTGAAATGATAAATTAAGAAATAAAATTAGATAAAATTGTACGTACAACCAATCAACTGGAATGATATTAGACAATTAGACAGAAAATACCAATACAGTAGATAGATTTTAAAATATAATTTTCTTTGCAAAAATCAGAGTACCGTTCTCATATGTGAGGGTTGGTGACCACAGTCCTCCACTTAAACAATCTTGGGCCATTCTTACCAGAATAAAAAAATTAGTCCTCTCCTTCAGTAATACTGTGTAGTTTTGCAATAATTCAGTTTATATTTATTAGTACTCTATATCAATTGTTATTGTTATTATCATAATTTTAATGTTTATATTCACTACTACTGTTTTATTGTTATTAGGTACTTGTGTTCTTCTATATATGGGATCTCTGTAAATGACCTGACCACTCCCCTCGCCCCTGTAACTCACCTGGCCACAACCAGGCCCCGCTAGGCATCTTGGCTCGAATCTCGATGCGGCCGTACCTGGAAAAGGAAGTACTTAATCAGGGATCACATGAAGATAAGCCCCTCCTGTTTATTTCACTCGATGATTAAAACACCCGAATGCTATCTTGGGATTAGGTTAGTGCTAGGTTTAGATTGTGATGGATTAGATGAGGTTATGGTAGATTTGGTTGGATTAGCATTAGATTAGCTTAGGTTAGAATTAGAATGGTTGATAAGGTGAAATAAACTGGGGGGTCTAATTTTTACGTGATCCTGAGAGTCTTGTAAATACTTCTTTCCTGTTCACAACCAAACTCTTATGATTTGGTTGAACATATAAAAAAACTACATCTCAAAAAAATTTACATATTCTTCACGATAAGGTCATTTAAAACGAACAAAATACAGGTAAAGATGCAAACAGCCCCTGAACACCTCATCACAGGAAGTAATTACTGTACTGTACTACCATCCCTCCTCATCCCTCTATATTCTTCCCCTTCCTCTGCCCTTCTCTCCCTTCTTTTCTCCATATTATCTCCATCTATTCTTTCTAGTATCTCACCCTTCCTTTTACCCTCCTTCCTTATTCTCCCCCTATTCTCTTCCCCTCCCCCCCTTTCCTTTACAGGGGCGGATCCAGGAATATCAAAACGGGGGTCCAAGAAGTTAAGGTGAAGAAATATGGCGAGCGCAGCGAGCCCACCCAGCTGGGGGAGAGTTTATGGGGGGCGCTGTAAGTCCCACCCCCCACGAAAATCCTTTGAAATCTGACCAATATCATGGGCTTTTGAGGCCGTTTTGAAGTCATGTCCATTTGATACGAGGAGATATTCTGAGGTCAATAGTTATTATTTTTTACTACATAAAAATGTCTTGAGTACAATACTATATTAAAGAAAAAATATTCGAATTTTCTGATAAAAAGGGGGCTTCGGACCCCCAGGAGCCTCCCCCTGGATCTGCCCCTGCTTTACCTCCCTATTCTCTTATCTCCCTATTCCCCCTCCCTTCCCATGTCCTTTCCCTCCCTAATTTCCCTCTTCCCCTTTCCTTCCCTCCCTATTATACCTGAAGGCAAAGTCAGACAAGGTCCTCAGCCTGGCGCTTGTGACGGGGTTGACGATGTTAGTGGCGGTGCCGACCCGGTTACACCCGTAGTAGGAGTTGCCGGTGCACACGTCTCCCCGTCCGTTCATTCCCCACAGATTGAGATCACCACTAGTTAGGAACTCTTCAGATTTCCACTCGGATGTGAGACCCTGCAGAGAGAGACGCCAGGGAGAATGCTTGGAGATCAAGAGGAATGCTGTGAGGTCCGGGGGAATGTTGAGAGGTCAGGAGAAGAATGTTATGAGGTCAGGGGGAATGTTGAGAGGTCAAGAAGAAGAATGTTATGAGGTCAGGGGGAATGTTGAGAGGCCAGGGGGAGTTTGGAAGGAAAACAAATATAAATTAAAGAAAAAAGGAAGAAAGAGAGACAGACACTCACCGGCTTAATGAACAATGTTGAATTTCTGGTGTAACTCACGCTCCTGTTATTCACGTAAACCTCGAACTCCCAATTCTGTAGAGAGAGTGGGGTTCCTTGTGAGTTCGTCACTCATCAGTGTCACTTATTGCATTATGGTAATTTACCTCACCACCATCATCAGTGTCACTCACCCTACCACCATTAGTGTATCGTTCATCAGTCACTCAATGTTACTCAACCCATCACTCATCAATCACTCACGGAAACTTATCCCACCACTCATCAGTCACTCACGGTAACTCACTCCACCACTCATCAGTCACTCACGGTAACTCACGCCATTACTCATCAGTCACTCACGGTAACTCACCCAACCACTCATCAGTCACTCGCACACCACATCATCAAACACATCACGGAAACTCACTCCATCACTCATCAGTCACTCACGGTAACTCACCCCATCACTCATCAGTCATTCGCGGTACCTCATGACATTACTCATCAGTTACTCACGGTAACTCACTCTTTACTCATCAGTCACTCACGGTAATTCCCCGTCACTTACGGAAACTCACTCCTCAGTCACTCACGGTAACTCACCCCGCCACCGGACATGGTAATCTCATGCTCCCAGGCGTCGTGGTCCAAATAGTCGAAGTCATCACTGAATATCATACAGGGGAAGGCAGTGCAGTCCTTAGGGTCCACCACATCTGTAGGTGCCGGGGAGAGAGGCTTCAGGTAACGCCGTCACCTAACTCGCTATACACTACACTACCGTCACCTAACTCACTACACACACTACCCGTCACCTAACTCACTATACAGTACACTACCGTCACCTAACTCACTATATAGTACACTACCGCCACCTAACTCACTGTACACTACCGTTAGCTAACTCACTATACACTACACTACCGTGACCGTCACCTAATTCAATATACAGTACAGTGTACACTATCGTCACCTAACTCACTATAAAGTACACTACCGTCACCTAACTCACTATACAGTACACTATCGTCACCTAACTCATTACACACTACTGTCACCTAACTCACTATACAGTACACTACAGTCACCTAGCTCACTATACAGTACACTACCGTCACCTAACTCACTATACATACACTACACTACCGTCACCTAACTCACTACACACTGCCATCACCTAACAAACGTAACTCTGGTCTTACCAGCAGCGAAGACCCCGCAGGCGAGGTACAGCAAAAACAGCAAAATCATCCTGTCTGTTGAGAAATAAACGAGAGTGAAATATAACCTTGGGAGTCAAACCAGAGATAATTGCTGCTGAGAGATAGGGAAAGAGAGAGAGAGGTAAAACTAATTTTGGACATAGAGTATACAAGGCATACAAAATTAAGCTCGTGAAATGAAGCCTATTTAGAAAGGCGAGGCGACCTTTGGTACTACTTGGGTGCATATACTGTACAGTACAAGTAGTAAGGTATAAAAAGTGCAATTTTGGATTATAATTAGAACTGTGCAGACTAGGAAGTTCATTGCAGGCAGTAAACTTTCTTGGATTATAAGATTTCTCTAATACATCCGATTAAAACATATTTCAGTAAATTGTCTACCATATTTTAAGCATTTTCTTATTTTCTCGTTTTGGATAGATAAAGACGTTTCAAGGATGTGGAGATGCTACACATACATAAATACATACTACAGTACTCAGTTAAATGGCCATACAAGTTTACAATTGATTCAGCATGTATACAGGTATAGAGAACGCATAATATACAGTGGGCATAGACAGTGTAGGTACTGTATAAAAACAACGTACTGTACCTAGACAGTGCAGGGATACAAGCAAGGATAAACAGTCGGGAAATCAACCAAGGTCAGCCATCAGTGAGTGTGTGTCCAGCAACCCTCCTACCGTACACACTCGCCAGCCAGCCTTCGCTGTGATTGGACGTCTCTCCAGACCCCTCACTGCCAAGCCAGCCAGCCTGTCTCTTACCGTTGACGAACTGAACTCAACGACCATCTCACTAACCATCACTTTGACACGTGAGAAGCTTGTTCCAGACAACGCCCTTTCTGTGCCTCCCCACTGATCAGGGGTGACTCCTGATCAGAGGCGGCCCTGATTGGGTGCTCTGTAACGGCTTCTTGCAGCGGACTTCTGCCACGACCCCACCGGTGTTACTTACACCAGTGGCTATTCTTCCTCTTTTCTTCCTTCTTTTTCGCTCTGGTCTGGGGACCTGCACCCTAAAGGTGTATTCGTCCTTGGGTCCCCCCCTGTAACTGTTCACCTCCCTCCTAGGAGTTTGTGAACAAGAAAGGGGGCAGGAGCAGTACCCATCCCTCTGCCGAGCCTTCCTGGATAACCATGATCGTGCGGGTCCACCCGGGAAGGGGTCGCATATCCCGCATGCTCCCCCAAGTAGGTACACTAGGGCTTACGCCTATAACTGAGCAGATTATATAAACACTAGGAAAGTAGGCTCCCCTAACGGGGCTTCTGGGAGAAAGACATTGGAACCACCCCAAGACCACTCGACCATCAAGCGGCGGTGGGGGGTGTTGAAATTCCTTTGTTAGGTCACTCTCCCGGAATAGGTAGGACACAAGCTTCGCCCCACGTAACGGTGGCCTTACCCACCACTGGACGGATGGAAAAAATGACGACCCAAGCATGACAAAGACAACGAGTAACAGGATTCGGGTGCGCTCCCTTCGGGGAGAAGTATACGAAAAAAGAAAAGAGGAATTAGGCACAATTCTATGCGCACGCCTAGGAATTAAATTCGCCGCTCTAATAGAAGCAGAGGACTCTTTCATAGTGCTTTGCATAGAAGAAAACGACGTCGATCTCATGTTATCAACTGAATCGATAGACACACTAAAAAGAGATAACTTCGAAATAGCCATCCCACCACAGCTTAGAGCTTAGAAGTCAATTGTTATCAAGAGATTGGATAAGACCATTACCAACAATTCCCCAATTGATATAGCACAAGAATTAGAACAGAAAAACACATGGGCAAAAGTCGAAGAGGTGGTACTGCTCCCCAGGGCTCCAGCGATGATGAAAGTAAGATTCAAAGAAATCGCCATGGCCCAGAAGGCACTAGAAAACGGAATTTGCATCTCCCACTACCACCTTTCAAAAGACCAAATCGAACAAGAAAATTTATATCCTATAACACCTTGCTGGATATTTTATCAATATAACCATGTATTAGCCAAGTGCCCTAATAAAGACAAAAAGTACTGCTCGGAATGGGGAGCTGAAGGGCACACATTCAGGGAATGTAACGACAAAGAAAATCCAAAATGTCTGAACTGCAAAGGACCTCACCGCACTTTTGCAGCACGATGCCCAGTATGGAAGGATATCATCAAAGACATGAAGGAAAAGGAAAAATCGAACAGACATATAGAAACTGACCCAACCAAAACCTATGCTGCAATAGCAAAGTTGCAAGACACTACTTCTTAAGTGCTAGACAAAACCAACGCAGAAAACACTTACTTGAAGCTAAGTGAAGGTCTACCCTTCACCATACTAGCCACACTAATACATGCCCACATAAACAACGTGGCTAACCCGGGAACATTCGGAAAAAACTTTCAGAGAAACGTTTGCAGCGAACAACCAACCACAGGTAAACTCCCAGACAATGCCCCATCAGCAGACATTTTCAAAATAATAACCGAAAACAGTCTAGGAATCACCAGCAAAGAAAGGGTAGATAAAATAACACAACAAGAAAAATGAACAGAAGCAGAGACTGCAATGGATACAACCCACTCCCAACTAAACACAACACGCTACGAGACCCTAGAGAACACAATCGACCAATCAACGAAGTCAACACCAGCAAGACCACGTAGAGAGAACCCTACTGATCAGTGGCCAGCATAGGAATTAGGTTTTACTCAGTCAACTCCCAGCCAACAGTAACAAAAGAGAGACTGTTAAAATATATTAAAGAAGGAACAACCAAATACACATACGAAGACAACAGGGTAGAGGAGGGATTCATAGAAACATTAATACGTGGTGGAAAATTAAGCAGCAAATACAACAAAATCGAGAGCGTAGACTTATCAAAATTCAAGAAAATAAGAACGGGACTGAAGGAGGAGAGACAGAGACTCTCCCCCGTAGAGACCCGAGCAACCAAACAACACGCACCTGACTTATTGTATCTTGAACGATGTAATTACTTCATTGAATCAGGTGTGCTTGAGGACATTCTTGCTGTTTATCCCAAATTTGCTAGCCCACACTGATTAGTCTTCAATTAGAATATGACTCCAATGTATGTGATCCACTGACCTATATATACTGCTAATGAATATGATGTATTTCCTTTTTTGTGTACGAACCTCTGTCCTGCATGGCAATGAACAGTGGCATTACCCATATGAATCTAACCTATATATAGTGTCAATGAATATGATGCATTCTTTGTGTGCGAACCTCTGTCCTGTATGGCAGTGAAGAGTGACATTACCCACATGAATCTGACCGACGTATATGTATGTATGTGTGTATATGTGTATGTGTGTGTGTGTGTATGTGTGAATATGTGTATATATATGTACATGTATATGTGTATGTATATGTGTATATGTATGTATATGTGTATGTGTGTGTGTACATATATGTATATGACTGTCAATGAATATGATGCATCTCTTTGTGTACGAACCTCTGTCCTGCATGGCAGTGAACAGTGACATTACCCATATGAATCTGACCTCTATACATTTATAGCTGTTAATGAATATGATGTATTTCTTTGTGTATGAACCTCTGAATTACTCAGAATAGGCAAACTGTACTACAAGCTCTGCCAATAAATTTGTTAAACTAAAAAAACTAACACGCACCAAGTTCCCGCACGATTACGCAAAACAGAACACTGAAAATAATACAACACAACGTACTGGCCTGGACAAATACAATAGCTCACGAATTATACAACAACATATATCGTACCCAAGACCCAGACGACATCATATTAAATTCTCACGGCAGGGGTAATTCAAATAGAATTAAGATATTCAATTACACAGTGTATGATATGGACACAAAGTAGTACCTTGAGCTGTGTATTATTATATTACTCTTATATTACTCCATTAATTATGTATAGTAAATTATTACAGAACATGTATTAATTCTATGTAATATTCCCATTTATTGTGCACCATATTATGTATATAAATTATCATATTTATAATTTATGTATTCAGCTTGTGAATGCTGGCATCTGTACATCCCAGCGCGCAGTAATACATAGAGAGAGTGAAGACAGAGCCCTTGTGGTTTGGACGCGAGCTTCTGGGTCCCCTCTGTATATATATATCTCCCGTACGAGAATAGAACCTACTTTTAAGAGAACAAGTGTTTGTGTATACCCTCAGTAGTATAGAACATTTTGTGGGTATTCAAGACAAACGTCAGACACAGTATACCCCAAAAACAGCCAAAATCCGTTACAAAATGGAATTGCCATAGCAATTAAAAGAAGAATAAAACATAAAATCCATGATACATTTCAAGAAAACTTTCTGGCAATTAAAATTAACAGCACAACGGGTCCAATCATAATCGGCACCTGCTACCTCCCTCCAAGACGACCTGTCTTTCCAATAGCAAACGTGCTCAGATTGATGAGGAGGAACATACCTGCATACTTTCTGGGTGATCTCAACGCTAGACACCGCATACTAGGACACCATACCAACAACGCAGTAGGCCCTGAACACACTAGTGAGCCACGTTGAATCGGCTGCTTGTGCAATTAACCAGTCCGTTCACATATATTTATATTTGGGTTTTAAGTAACGAAACCCAAACGGTACTTCCTTTGTTTTATTATAAAAGGTTGTATATATAATTCCTGAGTGTAGATCAACCGTAAGTCTCACTGTCTAGGAGTGAATGAGAAGGGGACGGCGTTTATGTATTATAAACGTTAGGTCACGTCCTTACGATATAAGTTGAGGTGAGCTACTGACTGTGAGGACCTCGCAGTGCGGGTTTACAGAAATGCTGAGCTATGGGTCTCGCCCTCTTGGGAGTGTTGCCCTCTCACGTGTCCAACTCATGTCTTACTCATAGACAGTGGAAAGTTACAGGGGGTGAATCTGAATATAATATCAGATGTATTGACCCATTTATATAATATGTTCTGTTGATGAGACAGGGGCCTATTACATGGCTCGGTCACCTACCAGCCAAGCTCCGTGAGGCCTA